TTCCTGCTGGAATGTGCTGGTTGCTCTATAAGTTGGGCGTAGATGCTGAGCGGTGTTGAGTGTTGTTATTCTGACTTTTATCAGAAGACTCTACGGCAGGCGAGTGGGTATGTCAGCTTGACCAGAAATGGCAGATTTGATTCAAACCGAAGGACAACCACTTTTTTTTTTTTCCTCCACCTCCCTAAAGATTTATGTATTTTAGCTGGAAGGATTGCAATGTTATTTGTGAGGAACACAAGTAGCAAAGCGATGGCTGATCTGGAGGAATGTGAACTCTGGGTGGCCAGTCTGTAGATGGGGGTGACAGATCCCACCTGAGGCTTGGGGGTCTGCTGATGGCAAACGCTTTATGAGGGAAGCTGAATCACGGAGTGGAGGTTCAGGGGTGACCGAGGTCTGCCAGCACTGTTAGTGCAGCTGGGAGAGCAATCCTCCTCTTCGGTGCCCGGCTTCCCCGTTTTATCTGCCTAGGCTTTCCTCTCTTGGCCAACCTCATCCTTTTCCAAGGTCAAGCCTGTTTTAGAGGTCACTGAGTTTAGGATTCACTTCCCATAACGTGATTATTGTGTGTCATTCTGAGCACGAGGCTAGCGAATTCTTTAACGAAAGGCCCATTGGCTCGAGGCGGGTGGCAGTTGTCATTTTGCATGTTGGGGACTTTAGGAATGAAGAAATGTCGTTGCTAAATGCAGAAAAGGGAAATGTGCATGAGGTGTAGTCACATTACAGGGCGATGAAAATGACCTTCCGTTGCTATAATGACACCGAGGTACAAGATGCTAACAACAGGAGTCAGAAGGTTTAGAGTCAGCAAGTTCTGATAACTTCTACCAAAACAGTTTTAGGGGATCTATTATCCATAGGCACTTTCTGGATTAATAATACTGATAATTGATGACAGTGGAAGAAAGTTAATAAAACGAGCTGAATAATTAGAGGTCTGCCAGCCCTGCAAAATAATGGAATGAATGATAGAGGACTTGACTGATGCGGAGGTAAGGGGAAGTAATACAATTAATGTCAATTAAAATGTACCCATGGAAAATAAGCTGATGAGATGTAACTGGGGATGTAGTTTGGCTGATAAAAGCAATAATGTGTGCTGTAAAATACTTTGCCGCCTTAATGAATTGAATGTAGTGCAATGCAATATTTTGAATGAGAAGTGAAAACGGTATAAAATGAATGTAGGGAATGTTAAGTAGGTACCAGCTAAATCGGATGGCGGATCTGAAAATACCGGGTGGGAATGGCTGGGGGCTGCTGTGGTGGTGGGGCCCTGCCTGGCTCTGTTCTTTGCCCCAGGCGAGTTGGTGTCCTTGCGAATGGCCCCGAGCGTCCCGACGTGCGTGTCTGTGAAGCTTTGGGCAGCCAGGGGTGGTAGGAAATAACAAAGGTGATGGTCACGCGTGCAGAACATCGGCTGGGAAAAGACTGGGCCAAAAAGCCCTGGGGAGTGTCAAGTCTGAGATACTCCATGTCAAGCTGGACATCCTGGAATGGTGTACAAAAAAAGAATAGAGAGAACCTTCTTCCCAATTTCTGTATCGGTTCCGC